CGGCGCCCTGGGTTGGGTCCTGGGCCGCGGAGGCGGCGGGGCGGGGTCCGGGCTGGGCGGCGGGCGCCCCCACTCCTCTCCTGCGGGGAGAAGAGGGGGCTGGGAGACGTGGATCTGACCGCGGGTTTCCGGGTGGGAGGGGCCTGGAATGGGGGCCCCGCAGGGAAGGTCTCGAGGGCCGGCAGGGAGCTCGGAAGCCGAGATCCCCCCTCGACAGGTTCTGATCCCCCTGCCGTCCCCTCTGCCCCAGGCCAGGCAGCCATGGCGGTGGAAGGAGGAATGAAATGTGTCAAGTTCTTGCTCTACGTTCTTCTGCTGGCCTTTTGCGTGAGTGGGGAGCGGGGACGGTGAGGGCGCGCTGGCAGGGTGCGGGGAGACCTGGCCGCGGAGTGGTGAGGGCTGAGGGGCCAGGAATGAAGGCAGCTGGGGACCGGATGTGGAAGGAAAGCCCGGGAACCACCGAGGCCAGCGCGGCCGTCCTCTTCTCCAGCTTTCAGGAACCTCTGAGGCTGGTTTGGACCGACAATGGCGGGCCACCCTCCCCGTAACCCCTCCGGGCCCTTCCTGTCTGGTGACCCAGTCTCTTGTGATATGGGGCAGTGGGGCAACCAGCCAACCGCCTGATGCTATCGCCACCCTCCTCTCTCCCCCTCCACTCCCTCATTCCTTGCCATTCCTTCATCACCCCTCCCGCTTGCTTGGGGTGGGTAAGGGCTCTGCCCACCTCCATTGCTCCCGTCCTGGGCTCCTGGCTGGAGAGGCTACTGTTTGTCCAGGAAGGGGCAGGCTACTTTTACCCCCTTTTCCTCCTCCCTTCTCCTCCCTGGCATAGTTGGCTTGAGGAACCCTAGTCACAGCTGATGAGGATGTGGTGGGCATTGGAGGATAGTGAGAGGGCAGTTCTGGGAGCCCTAGAGGCCCATAGGAAGAGGCTCAAAGGAAGCAAAGCTCTTTGTTAGGAATATGTGTCCTGGGGTCAAGGCTTTCTGGGAACTTCTCTGTTTGCTTTTGGTGCGGAGCTGCTTGAAGGAAGCCGTGGTTCCTCCTGGTTGCCTTCTCCCAGAGAGCCTTGAACAATTTCCCAGCCCTCACTGTGGGGCAAGGATGCGTCCTTCTACCCCAGAGTCAAAAGTTTCCTGGAGCTGTGAGAATCGGTCTCTATGGTGCGGGGTTCCGCTTGTGTCCTGGGTGCACCACCGTGAAGGGCTGATGGGTTGTGGGTCTTCTGAATCCTGACCTGCCCTCCTCCCAGGCCTTTGCAGTGGGGCTGATCGCTGTGGGCATAGGGGCCCAGCTCGTCCTGAATCAGACCATCACCCCGGGGGCCACCCCTGGCTCCCTGTTGCCCGTGGTCATCATCGCAGTGGGTGCCTTCCTCTTCCTGGTGGCCTTTGTGGGCTGCTGTGGAGCCTGCAAGGAGAACTACTGTCTTATGATCACGGTGAGTGGGTGCGGGCCGGCCTGGGTGCCTGGGACTGCGGGAGGGCATTTCTCTGGAAGGGGCTTGTCGGGGTGGGTGGGTGAGGGAAACCTTGGTGAATGTTCCCGAGACCGGCAGGCCCCTCTCACCCAGACTCCAAAGGTGACTCCCGTCCTTTGCACCTGCAGTTTGCCATCTTCCTGTCCCTTATCATGCTGGTGGAGGTGGCTGCAGCCATTGCTGGCTATGTGTTTAGAGACAAGGTAAGCAGGGAGTAAGGGGAGAGCCTTGCCGCAGAGGCCCGGATACTCTGGGACCCAGGTGCCCTGAATTCTGGCCTCAACAGTGCTCCTCCCTACTCCCAGGTGATATCAGAATTTAATAAGGATTTCCGGCAGCAGATGCAGAATTATCCCCAAAACAACCACACAGCATCGATCCTGGACAGTATGCAGGAAGACGTGAGTGGGGTTGCTGGGAGCAGGGGTAATGGGGGAAGGAGATTCTCATCTCCATGTTGAAGATGGAGGTTCACCTAACAGCCTTTCCCCCCATATCTTTCTGCAGTTTAAGTGCTGCGGGGCGGCTAACTACACAGACTGGGAGAAGATCCTGAGCATGAAGCGAGTCCCTGACTCCTGCTGTGTCAATGTCACTCAGGGCTGTGGGATTAATTTCAACGTGAAGGATATCCACACTGAGGTAGGGAGGGGCTGAGATGGGGGGGGCTTGGGGAAGCTGGCAGATGTCTCAGGAGGAAAGAGGGGCCCGGGGTGGAGCTGGAGAGGGTTGGGGCTCTGGGAAGTTGGGCGTCAGGGGTGGGGAGGGAATTTGGGAATGCTAGGGGTGGGGTTAAAGGTACAGAGGGTGGGGGAGAGACAGATGGTCCAAGGAAGGTGGGTGGGAAGTTTCTGATGGTGTCTTGTGTGCCTGCCACCCTTCAGGGCTGTGTGGAGAGGATTGGGGGCTGGCTGAGGAGCAAAGTGCTGGTGGTGGCTGCAGCAGCCCTGGGCATTGCCTTTGTGGAGGTGAGAGACGCCCTTGAGCATCTGGGATCTAGGGGCAGTGGGAGGGTGCTGAGCAGGAGGTGCTGGCCTGGGGAGGGGATCCCTGGTGGTGTTTGGGGTCTTTTGGGTGGGTCCCGGGTGCCTTGCCTCCCTGACTCCTCTTCACCCCCATCTCTGTCTTTCCTTCTAGGTCCTGGGTATCGTCTTTGCCTGCTGCCTTGTGAAGAGCATCCGAAGTGGCTATGAGGTGATGTAGGGGGTCTAGTCTTTTCAGCCCCCTCATCCAGGGGAGTGGGTAGTATACTCCAGGTTTTTCAATTAAACGGATTATTTTTTCAGACCGAAAAGAGAGAGAGTCTCAGTTTGTCTTAAAGAGTGGTACTTTATCCCTTCCCCCTCCTCATCCATGTTCCTGTCCTCTGGGACCTCGTTCTGTTTGCACTTCTGGAAAGGCAGGCCTATTTTGGGGGGTGTGGAGGAAAGGAGGATTGTGCTGAAGGCGTTCGTTGGGCTGGCAGTGGAAGTGGGGATCCCGAGGAGGCTGAGGCCCACTGCCCTCCGTGTCTCCTAGTCTTGTGCTGCCAGGCTCAGTGCTGAAGGGTTCGTGAAGCCATTTCCCACGTCAGAGGGATTCTCTACAAAGGTCCTACCTGGGAGAGACCAGCCCACGTCCACTGTCGACATCATCTCCCTGGCCTTCTGCCCACCTCTGAGGGCCCAGCAACTCCTTGCCACACTGACCCTCAAGGGGGCCTGGCTCCTTTCAGGATGGTGACAAGTTGCTTTTATACCTGTGTGGCCAATGTCTATCCTTCTTGACTTATGTTAGATAACAGGAGAATTTAAGAGGGTATTGGCTTTTTTCCCATGGAAACCACCCAGCTTGGTCTTGACCCCTCTTCATCACCTCCCCATGCCCCCCTTCCCACTCCAAACACTGAATTTCAACCTTACTCCAGGTAGAAAGGAAACATCCAACAGTGCCCTCTAGTGGCCATCCCTCCAGGTGCAGCTTCAAAGATGCCTTACAGATGCAAGACAATCCCCTTGCGCCCCCGAGTGGGTGCTGGTTGTTTTGCAGGTACTAAATGGGCCAGAGACCCTGGATGATGTCAGCCTAGGTTAGTTAGGAGTTACATGGGGTCTTCCACTGGGCACCTTCATTTTTACCCACCTACAGTGTTTTTTGTTTTGTTTTGAACAATACACATTTTAATTAATTAATTAATTAATTTATTTATTTTTGGCTGTGTTGGGTCTTTGTTGCTGTGTGTGGGCTTTCTCTAGTTGTGGCGAGTGGGGGCTATTCTTCATTGCGGTGTGCGGGCTTCTCATCCTCATGGCTTCTAATGTTGCAGAGCACAGGCTCTAGGTGCCCGGGCTTCAGTAGTTGTGGCATGCGGGCTCAGTACTTGTGGCACGCGGGCTCAGTACTTGTGGCGCACGGGCTTAGTAGCTACACAGCATGTGGGATCTTCCCGGACCAGGGCTCGAACCCGTGTCCCCTGCACTGGCAGGCAGATTCTTAACCACTGCGCCACCAGGGAAGCCCCAATACACATTTATTGAGTGCCTGTTTTGTACCAGGCACCAGGCAGTGCCAGGGTAGGGGACAGAAATAAATCAAAGTCCCTGCCTTGAACGACAACCTCTTGCTGGAGGGCTGGGTTCAGTAGACCGCCTGAGCAGGCTTGGGAAGGACCCAGGTGAGCACAGCATCCACCAGGCTGGCTGGCAGGTAGGAGGCTGGCAGCCAGAGCAGCTTGGCGTCCCAGCCTGGGCTGTAGCGGGTTCTGGGGTGACGGGCAGTGAGGGCATGCTCCAGGCACTTGCTCACCTTGGTCAGGTCCGGGTCACAGATCAGGTTCATGATGCGCTGCTGCACTCTCAGATCTGCAGCCCGGCGGATGGTTGTAATCAGTGTCCCTGTCCCGTTCCAGCCTACCTCAGGCCTTATCTCCTGGGGCCTGGGGCTTGGTGCCCAGTAGAGGTGAGAGGGGTCCTCAGTCCCCTCCCCAGTTTGGAGAGTGGGCAGGTTGCACATGGCCTGGGTGTTCTATGGCATCCCATTCACCCTCACCCCTTCCCTGACTGCTCTACCCACCTCCTCCCACAGCCTGGCCTTTGTGGCACTCTCATTTCCCTTCATATGCCCCTGCGTGGGCCCATCACTCACATTTGGTGAGGAAGCTCTCCCCATAGAGGGCCTGTGTGGCTGGAGGCAGCCGTGCCCAGCAGGCCTGCAGGCTGTCCTCCAGACTTTCCAGGTTTGTCACAGGGGTTCGGAAGAAGCCAGGCTCCACGATGGAGACTCGTACCCCGAAAGGAGCCACGTCCCGCCTGGAGTGGGGGCAGAGGGAGGTTTCTGGGTTCTTGTCTTTATAGGGAGAGGACTTCAGTGACATGGGTAGGGAGGCTAAGATAGGAAAGCATCACAGGGTCAGTGGTCATGACAGGAAGGGATAGCCCCACTGCCCTGGGATGAGGGGCAAGTGGGGCAGAGGGAAGGAGGTATTTTTGAGGTTTGTTTTCCTTTGTGTTCTCATCTAGCATCTAGAGCAGGGACCTGCAAACTTCTTAAAGGGCCAGACAGTAAATATTTTCCACAGTGCAGATCTAAAATTAATGATATTATGTAGCTACTTATATAACCATTTACACTGTCACCATTTCAAAATGTAAAAGCCATTATTAGCTTGTAGGCCAGTGGCGGGATCTGGCCTGAGAACCACAATCTGCCAACTCCTGAACTGGAAGAACCACAGTCCCTAGATCCCAAAACACAGGGTTGAGCCCCAAGTGCTGGATATAGACTGGTATTTGCTGGGGGAAGGCGGGAGTACTCGGCACAGATTGCAGAAGTCCAAGTAAAAAGTATGTGTTCTGTGATGCTGACTGGAAAATTAAAAGACTAAGGCATAGGGACAAAAGTAGATATTGATGCTATTTGCTGAGTGATGGTGACAGAGGAAGACTTCCTTCAGGAGGTGGGCCCAGCTTGGGGGAATCGAACTCTGCTCCTGTGTCATCCTTAAGTCTCCCTTGTGCTCTTGTGGGACTTTGAACATTATTGTCTAAAGATGAGGGGCAGGAGAATGTAATGACCAGGGTCTGTAGGCAAGCAGACCTGGGCATACATGGCAGTGCTCCCACTAACTATCATGTGGTCTTGGGTAACTTATGTTACCTAAGGGTGTTAACACCTACCCTTACAGGATTTTGGGGAGAATTGAATGAGAAAGTGTTCAGTAGAGGTACTAGCTCATGGTAAGTGATAGTTGTTATTAGTACTAATATTAATAAGAATGAGAGCGGGCTTTTGGGGGCATTTTCTACGTGCCAGGCTCTGTTGGGGCCTCACATGTACCGCATCTTACTCACCCATGAGGCGGGCCTTCTCATCCTGATTTAACAGAGAAGGAACAAACTGGGGAAAAGAGAAGTAACTGACTAAGGTCACCAAGCTCACATGAGAGAAGGCTGGGATTTGAACCCACAAACTCGAGCCCTAAACTGTCTCTAAGTTTCCCCCACGCCCTGCTTTCATCAGCTCTGCAGGGCAGATGCTAATCTGCTTGTTGAGTGGGCTCCCCCGCCCGGGAACTGGGAGCAGGGCCCTGCACCCCTCACCTCAGGCTGTCAGAGAACGCCTCCAGGCCAAACTTGGAGACACAGTAGCCCCCTCCATTGGCTGCCAGGCGGCCCAGGACACTGGTGATGTTGATCACCCGGCCCTGGGCCTGCCGCAGCAGGGGCAGCAGGGCGAGGGTGACCCCGATGGGACCCAGTGTGTTCACATTCAGCACCCGCTGGAAATCCTCCTGTGTCTGCCAAGGTGTGGGCCCGATGATGCCAGCCATGCCGGCATTATTCACCAGACCAAAAAGCCCTGTGGGGAGGTGAGACAGGCACAGGGTAGGTGAGGCATTCCAATGGGCCCTCTCCTTTCCGGGAGGATCTGAGCCCTGCTCCTCCCCCGCAGTCCCTCTAGCTTCCCACAGCCCCTGCGAGTGCACACCTTACTCCCCGTTCCCGGTGGCCCCCTGCCATACTCACCTGTTTCCCTGACGTGTGTTTCCACCCACTTGGCTGCCTGCCGGATGCTCTGGGGATCTGTGACATCCAGCAGGGTGGTGTGGAGTCGGGAGGAGGCCACCCGCTCGAGGTCCTCTGCCCCTGAGGGGGTCAGGCAGCTGGCCAGGACTCGGAAGCCTCTCTGGTCCAGCCTCAGTGCCAGAAGCCGCCCAAAGCCCGAGTCACAGCCGGTGACAAAGACGAAAGCATCGCTGGCGGGCAGGCTCTGCCGGTCCCTGAGCAACCACAGTGCTGCCCAGAGCGAGACTCCCAGAAGCAGAGGCAGCCACATGGCCGGACCCCAAGTGACCTGCAGGTGGCAGCCGAAGCTGGGCAGGGAGACTTGTCTAGTTTACTCTGGCCCACCAGCCCTCGCCCCTCATATCTTCCCCCTAGCTGGAAGTCTCTGGTTTGAGCAGACTGAGAAATTATCTGCTTGGCAGATAACTCGCAAACTACAGTTCATCTAAGTAAAGCGAAGATCTGGGCAGACTCTGTATCTGTGGGTAAATTAACTAAAACCAGATGAGCTGGGTCCTGTGTGCAGACCCGCCATACAGGAGCAGAGGGATCTTGTTATCACCTCTTACCTCCTGCTAAACCAGCTGGGCCTTGTTTTTGGAGACACATACGGAGCCCCTGCATTTTAGTCCTGCTGGCTCCAAGCTTACTGTGTGAGGCCGAGCACCTCACTGTGTCTCTGAACCTGTTTTCTCATCTACCAAGTGGGGCTAACACCCAGCATGCCCACCTGGGAGCTGCGGGCGATCAAAGGGGATAAAGTGCGAGGAGGTGCATGAAAAGCTTTAGGCTTTGAGTTATCAATACATGAACATCTTGCCAGTCTTCTCATAGCCCCCGAGCTCCCAGTACCCTTCTTACCTTCTCAGGGGAAAGCTAGCAGGCACTACCAACACCTGAAGTTTCTTCTTTTGCTTTGCTTGAGAAACTTTGCTCCAGGGCTTCCCAGGCTCCCACTAGCTACCACTGAGGCCAAAGTCTGAGGCAGGTGGACTGGGTGCCAGAAGTATTAAGTGCATGTGGGGCGAGGTGGGGGAGGAGGAGCCAGGAAGGCTGAGGCCTGTGGGTTGAAGCCAGGGCTTGCTACAGGCCAGAAGCGCCCAGTGCCCTGCTTGGCTCTCTTTTCCAGTGCGGCTCCCTGACCACCTCTGTCACAGATTCTTTTTTTTTTTTTTTTTTTTCTAAATTTTTGAATTCCACAAGGCTTAGTCGTTTTTTTTTGTTTTTTGTTTTTTGCGGTACGCGGGCCTCTCACTGTTGTGGCCTCTCCCGTTGTGGAGCACAGGCTCCGGACGTGCAGGCTCAGCAGCCATGGCCCACGGGCCCAGCCGCTCCGCGGCATGTGGGATCTTCCCGGACTGAGGCACGAACCCGTGTCCTGCAGGCAGACTCTCAACCACTGCGCCACCAGGGAAGCCCCATTTTTTTTTTTTTTTAAATTTTTTTTGGCTGCGTCGGGTCTTTGTTGCTGTGTGCGGGCTTTCTCTAGTTGTGGCGAGCGGGGGCTACTCTTTGTTGCGGTGCGCGGGCTTCTCATTGCGGTGGCTTCTCTTGTGGAGCACGGGCTCTAGGTGCCCGGGCTTCAGTAGTTGCAGCTCGCGGGCTCTAGAGCGCAGGCTCAGTAGTTGTCGCACACGGGCTTAGTAGCTCCACCGCATGTGGGATCTTCCCGGACCAGGGCTTGAACCCGTGTCCCCTGCATTGGCAGGCAGATTCTTAACTGCTGCGCCACAAGGGAAGTCCTGTCACAGATTCTTAAGAGGAGGGATCTATCAAGGATGGTGGCTGCCCCTCTCTGTTGGTGACCTTGGACCTGTCACTCCTCCCCCTTCCCTGCCCTGAAGTGCTCCCATGCCCAAGAATTAATCTCCCAACTGGTCCAGACTCATGACACTGCTTAGCACCAGGCTGGGAGAGGCCGTGAGCACGTGGAGAGGCAGGGAGCCAGAGCTGGACCAGGCCTGCTCCCTGTCTTGTTTCTCCTCTGCGGGAAATGGAAGTCCTGGGTTAGGAAGCTTGGGAGAGGGCCCCCTGCTCTTCTCTGGGGAGGGGTGGGAAGCTCCCACCCTCTGCTTACCCAACAGTACCTGCATCAGGTACCAGGCCCAAGGAGGAGAAGAGAGTTGAGCTTGTAAGAGGAAGCTAGTTCCAGCCTCTACCCCAAAGGTACCATTGCTCAGGGGAAGAGTCTTCGAACCTTCCATTCCTACCCCCCACGCTGAGCTAGTAGCTCCTTGAGACAAACACAGAGAAATGGAGGCTTGTGTTTTATTCATGGCCTGTCACCCGCCTTCCTGCCCGCCTGGGGGAGGTAGGAGGAGTGGGGGAGGGGAGGGCAGTGGGGCTAGGAGGGGGCCGACTGCAGCTGCCCTTTGTAGACGTACTCCAGCGCGGTGGCAATGGTGCGCATGTCCAGCTCAATGCTCCGAGCCCAGTTCTCCACATCCCCGATTTCCTGGAAGGTGGTGGTGGGGTGCGGGAGTCCGGGAGTCAGGGTGGGTGGGGTGTGGCTCTAGGGGATGGATGGGGGCACTTTCATTCCATCCCCTAGAAAGGGCTTTGCGTGGACCCACCAGCTGCTTTTACTTCTCTAGCTTCTGTGACACTGGGGCCATAGATTTCTGGGGTTTCTGGGACGATCCCCACTTCCTCCTCAACCCCAGGCCTGAGGTGACCCCACTGGAGGCGGCCAATGGGGGCGCAGGATGTGGCCGGAGACGTAGGGAGCGTGGCCTACCTTGAGCGCCTGGTTGAAGTTCTCCACCATCCCGATCCACTGGCCTGTCTGCTTGGCAAACTGGGCGGCCTGGACCTGTAGGGTCTTCACCTCGTGGTCCAGCTTTCTCTGGTTCATGTAGGCCTGGGCCACGCTAGAGGTTGCAGGAGGAAGGAGGTCAACTCGCCCAGCTGGTGGGGAGTGGTCTCTAGAACTGATACCCCACTGCCAGAGTGGGAGGCCGGTCAGGAGTCAGGCTGGAGAAAACGTGTGATTTTGGCCATTCCTGGATGTGAGGCAAATGACTACGATGTACATGCAAATGAGCCCGGTCCCTTCCTTCCATTCCCAGGATTCCCAGGAGAGCCTAGCCAGGAGCTGACCAGAAACATACCATTTCCTACCGCCAGAGAAGTTCTTGAAGCTGGGTGAGAAAAGGGAGGGTTAACCTGGTGGGGCTGAGGGGTATCACTGAGGAAGAAGCTGGGAGGGAAAAGGGGCCGTGGGGAAGCTTGGGAAATCCAGCGGCAGGGACACATCTGGCAATGATTGGAAGGCCAGGGATCTGTGCGAGAAGTTGGGAAGGGAAATCGGGCTCCTCCCTGAATCTGGGGTGGGATGGGAGAGCAACCCCCTCCCCAGGAACTCAGGGTCAAGGGAAGATATCCCAAGGGCTACTTCTTGGCTCTCTCTCCCGGTCCTCCTCTCGCCCACACAGATGAACGAACACACACACACACTCTCTCTCTCTTCCTTCTGCTCTAGGCAACAGGTTTCCTATTCTCCTCGATCACGGTTGCCTGCAGTTACATTACTGCCCCAAGGCTGGTATCCCCGCCCCCTGCTCACCCCTGCCCCCCCTGCAATAACTGTGCAATAACTGTTCCCCCTTGTTGGCTGATGAATCTTTCATTCCCCACCCCAAAGCTCTGGGTCAGCTGAGAGACTCCACATCCGCTGCCCCCACCCACTGGAATCTGTGGGGACTGGAGGGGACAAGGGGACGGGGCGGGGGCTGTCTAGAGAGTGGAAAGGACACCTGACAGGGGCTGAGATAGACTGAGCCTTTGTTTTCCTTTCTGGGGAATGAGAGGAGCCGTGGGCAGCAACACAAAACCCTTTCTAATCTGGCTTTGGCTTAGCTGCCCTCTAAGCTGAAAGTGGGGTGGCCCCTAGCAAAGGAAGAGAAGCAGGAGAAGCCTGGGCCAACCACAGAGCAGAGCCCAGGAGGCGCCAATGTGGGAGGGAGGGAAGGCACAGACCCTGTCCCTTCTCTCTGGGGGACAGCTGGGTCACAGTATGGGGTGTTGGAGGAGCTGAAACAGTCATGGCAGAGTGCTCCCAATGCTTCAAGATTCCCCTGGGAGCTCCTGAAATCCTTATTTTCCCTGTTGACCTCTTGCTTTCTCTCATTCACACTGTGTGGAGGGAGAGGCCTGGAGGGAAGGGAGATCAGAGGCCCCAACCACAGCCTTCTCTCCCCCTAATCTTCCCGAGATGAGCAATGAAGGTGACAGTTCCTGTCTGGCTCACTTGGGTGACTCAGTCTCTGAATTCACAACCAAGCTATTCCACTTGCCCTGGGGTGGAAGGCATCATACTGCCTCCTTTCTCCCAACAGATGGCCTGGCTATCAGATCATCATCTCTCCACTTTTCTGGGTCACTCAGGGTCAAGAGACAATGTTCTTTGCTCCTTCCCAAGTCACTGGTCATTACTGGCATCCTCACTTAGGACCAAAGCAAGGGGTGGTCTCTGGAGACCCAGAAGGAAGGGAAGTGACAGCCTGGCTCTAAGGTGGCTCCTGGCATAGGTTCTGCCCTCACCCTCACCAGCTGTGCCATCTCTTTCCTGCCAGCTGCTCTCCAGGTCTGCCAGAGGGTGGGAGGTGGAAAAGGAGGGGCTGGGAAGCTGTGGTGAAGGACGGTGCTCTCCCTCCCGCTGGAAGTGACAGCTGGACTTGGACGGGTGAAGAGAGGTGGCCAGACGGCATCAAGTTGTGAGCACCAGGGAAGTTATTGTTGGGAAGGGGAAATCTGGCTGCTTTTCCAACAACCGCAGCTGTTCCTCTCTGCCCTTGTTAGGGGTCAGAGCTGGCTCAAGCCTCTCTCCATAAAAGTTAAGCTGGGTGGGGGGAGGATAGGGGAACGAGCGGAACATCTCATCTCCTCAAGAGCAGTCTGAGGGCTAGACCTTGCCAGTGCCTAAACTTGGGGGGGCGGGGTTGGTGTTGATGGGAAGAGGTTCATACCCCACATTGAGGTGATCCACCAAAGCTTCTGTCAGGCAGGTCGCTGCAGTGATAGCCTCTCGCCTCCTCTTCTCTGGGTGGAGGGGGAAAAGGGATTAGACTGGAGACTTGGTTTTTTGAGGGGTGGTGCTTAAGGTTCCACCACCCATTCATTACTATTCTGCTAGTTGTGGGAACATTTCAACTAATCTCAGAGTGCCAGAGCTGAAAGGACCTTGCAAAACATAAAGCAAGCCCTTTCATTTTAGCGGTGAGGAAACTGGTACCCTAAGAAGGGAAGCGATTCGTCCGGGGACGCTAACGAGTCTGTGGCAGCGCCCAGGACTCCAGACTCTCAGGCACGCTTTTCCCAATGTCTTGGTTTTAGGATTGGTAACTCCGGGATTCCCAGCCCGGATACAGGAAACAAGGGCCCCACCCCCATTTCGGTGGTTTCAGGCCTCCGAGAATCCCAACTCTGCCGGGTCCCCAACAGGGGACCCCCCCCTTCAGGAGCGGCTCCTTCAGGAGCGTTCCTTCCCACTTCCAGGATGAGCGGCTCCCTGGACCAATCGGCACAGCGTTCCGTGACAGAGGGCGGGGCTAGGATGCCGCGGAGACTGAGCGTGGGGGGCGTTGCCGTGGGGGACTGGAGCGCTGCTAGAGACCAGGGCCCGTTGGCAAGAGAACGGAACTCCCCAAAAAACTCCTCTAATTCCCTCTCCCACATGCCCGTGCCCACTGGCCTGCGCCTTTCCTTGGATTTAGGCCGTTACTCAAGGTCCAGGCTCCGGGCTGAGGCCAGGCCGCCGGCGGGAGAGAAAACGACGGACTGGATATTTGGCTCACCCTGCAGCTCCTTGCGTTCATTCTGCTTGGCCTGGTGTTCTTTCAGCAGGCGGGACAGCATGGTCGCGGCGGGCTGGGGGCAGGGCGCGCCCGGCCCCCTCCGGCTCCCGGAACTGGAACGAGCTGCTCGGCTCCCGCTGGGCCTGGGGTCACGTGGCTGCAGTGTCACGTGAGGCCCGGAACCGCCCTCCTTCTGCGACTTGGGGTGGTAGGTAG